GGGCCCAAAGGAGTCAGTGTGCTAAAATTTCTTAATTTTCCTTTGTTAGAATCAGAGGTGCTAATTTCAAATACTTTTCAGTCTTAAATCTGTCTGCTAGATATTGAATAAGGTGGTTTTATTGTTTTTTGTCACTTTGAATAATATTTCTGTTCATGTTAAAAACATAATCAACTCTCTGTATAAATATTTTAGGTGACCGTTAAGGTCCATGGGCCTCTTGTTATGAATACAAAGCTTGAGGCTATGATTTATTAGCATACTGTGCTCTGCTTTGTTGACGTTTTCTGCACAATAACTTTGTCAAGTTTGACAGGAGTCTGAAGAGTCTATCAATATTTACACTTTGTCTAATCGCGAAATCTGCCTATAACGTATGGAAAACAGAAATAGCATTTGTTCTAATTGTGTAATATGAAAAAATTATTGGCAAAAAAGGGGAATTTCAATTTTCATTTTTTTTATGGTTTGCAAAATACACAAAAGAAAACAATTCCTATGAAAATCGACTTTTTAAAGATCATAAACGATATATGAAATGTATTTTTACTTGCTCAATAGTTTGGTCAAGTACAGTATGTTTTGTTTCTTTTCACCACCACTCCTGTCGACCGGGGACTGGGAGAAGAATAGTAGTAGAAGTGCTGTATCCTTAATCATGTTTCAATCGTGTGTATTTACCTATTCCCCTTAGATTAAAGTTTACACATTTGATCGTTTGCTTCCTCTCGTCCGCATGTAGCATGATTAATCGGATAAATAGATATCAATGTTTCCCTACCAAAAGTGATATAAATTTGTTATTTTACCGAATTGGAACAATATTACAATGTTGGCGATTACCAAGTTATGTACATTGGTAATTAGCTGCTGCAATCACTCGGGATTGAGGTTTGACTCGGTGTACCTCTTTAAGTGAGATAAACATGAGCTTTAGAGGGCAATACTAGGTTTTATTTCAGTAACGTGATCAGAGTCATCTTATCAGATATGCTATACTTTGCATACAGATATGCTATATTATACCACGTTATGTTTAATGATAAATTTGTATTATTGTTGTTTTATCATGCACATTGTATTTACTTGAATATGAAGAATTAGTATCGCTCTTTTTTATAAAAATTATTTCATCAATATGCATATTCAAAGATTTCTCAGAAGGCACTATTCTAAAACATCGATCCTAATCTATCATATTTTTTTTTTTTTCTGATAAAATGGGAGGGATTTGAAATTGCTCAGTGGCTGCCGTAGTTATTTTAGAAAAATGAAAAAAAAAATCTCTTTCATACAACGCTTTCTGAATATGGTAGAGTTGGTAATGGTTTGATCGTGTTACGGTGCTGTATTTTGTATTTAGTTGTATTCTCAAATGTGTCCCATACCTAACAAACATGTCAATATGTTATATTTTATATATAAAACACAAACTGATTGCATCATTCAACTTATTCTGGTTACTGCAATTATATATCTAAGCAACACCTTGAGGATATATCAAGTGTATCTGATCATTATTATTCAGACATTTTGTTCAGATGTAACCAAATATCCTGGTACGTTATAACTTATTTATCTTGTGTGTTTAACCAGGGTTGTTTCTCTTCATATACTTAATTTTGTATTGATTTGTTTATAAAGCTTGTTTAAATTGATGTTATGTTTGTTGTTTAATATATACATATCCAAGTATGGTAAATATATCCAATCGAATTTTGCGGACTATTTGATGAATGGTTTGTTAACGACAGTTCAGTGCAGACAATAGAATATTGTGTTCTAAAGAAAGCCGGTCAATGATTAACAATTCAATGAAAAACGACAGGTACAAAATCATCAAAGCAGCGATAGCTTTGACAATTATCTTAACACGTTGTATTTGATATATATAATTGAGCAAGTAATAGCTTCATTCAATAATCTGAAGCCTGTTACTCAGTGCAGTAGTACTCTTTATTTCGCCATCATCTCCGCACAATTGTAAGGAAGCAATTACACCAACATGACGTTTCTAATAGACATACACAAATACACACATACATTACACAATCCTTAGATGCTGTTTAGTTTTGTCTTCATTTAGGGTTTTAATATCCTCGCTACATCATTAAATAACCTTAGCTGCTATGTTTTTGTGTTTTAGTTGGGGGGAAGGGTAAATATACTTGCAACAGTCACCTGTTTATGCTTATCTCAAAAGTGTCAAGATGAATTATCATTTTAGGACTTTCCACCCTTCGTAATACACATGTTTTTCTTGTCGTATTTTCGTGTCGTCATTTCCGGATTGCGTATCGGGCATTCCATTACCGTAGTGTAAATTATAGTAACACCGGGTAAACAATAGTACACGTGCGTGACGATGATATGTCAACACCCGATATCGAGACTTTGAAATGTGTAATCACACGTACGTCAGAAATAAAGCTTATGATACAAAGACATTTATTAACTCAAGGAAAAACACTGACAAATGATCAGACGACTTTAAGAATGTCGTATATGAGGCGCATGGAATGCAGACTTATGTGTTTAGTTTACCGACCTCACCTGTACGTATCATGTGCTAACAGTAGTTCACAAGCTCTTGGTCGCTACGACTTTTGTTGTCGAGCGAGTTACGCTCTGTCAGATAAATTGGTTCACAAATGCAATTACAATAAATCTGTGAAAATAGTGGTTTGTAAAATATCAAGATCCCTATAAAATGCAAGTGCATGTGCGTGCACGTAATAACGGCACGCCATGCGATAGCCTATGGTTACATATGTACCTGACATGTTGATATACCATGCGTAAGCGGGCTATGGAATGATGTCCAAAGTGAACATGATTGAGAGTAATGTTGTTCCATAAAAGAACAGTAAATTGACAATTAAATATAGTTATTTAATTTATTTCCGTCGTTTTTGGTATAGTAAAGAAAATAGGTGTCATTGTATGAATACTATCCCTCTGCAAAAAGTTCTGAATATTTTCAAGGTAGACAACTCTCATAACGATCAAAATGATTGTAAAATGTAAAATAAATTAATTATAAAGACTTTGTGTGTATTTGGTTCAATTTTTCACTCTTTTTGTATGAAACTATGTGTTCTGTTTGCTTTTAGCTTGTATTTAGTAACTTTTATCCATACAATTTCAATAAAAAACACTTTTTGTAACATGTTGTAGATATTTTATGATAAATAAAATATTTGTAGGGTTGATTAACAATGTTTCTTTTAATTATTTTATTGTTTCAATAGTTTTGAACAATGCCATCCGCTGTAAAATGTGAAAGTGTTGAAATTTACAAAAATTCAATTTTTTCGTTGTTTTTTACCAAAAAATTCCCAGTTTATCGGAATGCTTAGATTTTCATAAAATCATCTGTACATAGTGACATAACCATTATGTGAAAATTTCCTTGAATTCTGCTGGCTAATTGCGAAAGGGTGGAGCCTCCTTAAACGCATGTCAAACAAAATAATAAACAAATTGACAGATAGCTCAACCACCTTGAAACTAGTATAGCCTTTATAACGTTAGACTTAAAAACATATATAAATAGAGATTAAGTAAAGGATGGCTTTGAAGTATTACCATGTCAATACATTTGTTACTTTGTAAAACCAAGGTATGAGATCGTTACATGTACCTAATTTATCGGTTCCGATACTTACAGCACAGTAACATCCTGTAGCCTTTTGTATCGCAACAAGTTTGTTCGAATTCAAAGAACATAAATGAAATCATTATTTAGAAATAAATGTTTTACGAACAGGACATGAAAATACCAACATTGACCTGCTGCTCTCGTTGCAACACATGTGATTTTTTTCGTTTTCCTTCTTCCTGTCTAGTTTCTTTCTTACCTACCTTCCCTTTCCGGCGTTGTCTCTCGGGAAAGCCGTCCTCATATGACACCAGCTATGACGAGGACGTTAGACATCAACCAAGCAAATAAGGTGAATAATGGCGATACATATATAAAGAATGTGTTGTTTCTGTAACCTTACTCCCGAATCGATTTGCTTTTTAGAAATCAGCGCTCAAAATATTGTATAATGCATTGCAATTGTGGTAGTATAGCTGGAGTAGACTACTGGAGGACATATCAGAAAATTACAGTAGAAACTGTATAAAGTATCAACTCGAGAGCAAACAATGAAGACATACAAAGGTAAGTGTATATCGGGTTTGTGACATTGAAGGTAAATGGTAACAACCTAGACATTTCAAGGGAGATAATTCACATATAACATGGAAAAGAAAACAAACAGAATAAACTGAATTTTTGTCTTGTTTGCCATATGCAAAAAAATATTTCCTGGAACTACTGACTGAATGTCTACGAAATAAATGTTTTCTCCTGAGGTAGAACTCATGAATGACGTAGACAGCATGTATGAACGATTGTCCAAATAAAGTAATTCATATTGAATCTGTCTCATCACCCATTGAGGTTTATACCCTATATACCTCAACAAAACAGGATTCTATCCTTATATTTACGTCAGTGCTATATTGATATTTTTTGGATAATTTTTAAAATATCTGTTTTGTGCAAGTCTAACATCACAGAAGGTACCGAAGCTTATGATGTCATCACTCACTGTGAGACGTCGTCATGGTAAGATGAATAACGTGTTTGCATTGATTACAACGAACAAACAAAACAAATTAAGATGTAAGTTAGATTTCTTTAATTCAATTAACAACTACTGGCAAAAAACTAACAATCTATTAAAAGGACTACTTCCCGCGCTCTGCGGAATAACAGAGTAATCAGGTTGATACTATGTTGATGTATTCATACGCCAACTGAAAAGTTCATTGAAAAATAACCCTTTAAAATGTTTCGTTTGTATATCACAATTACGTTGTACAAGTATATAGTTACACAGTATAAAAACATATAGTTACATAACAGGGATCAATCATTTTAATGTAAAAATATATAGACCATATCATGATTTTGTTAAGAACAACTATTATACATAATAAATTAATAAATTAAAACAAACTATCACATGTGCCAATCCAGAGAGCAGGTGATTTTGACAGCCCCTACCTAACAAACTCCTGGATTTTGACCTTACATATTAAATACTATATTAGTTAAAAGGTTTCTTTTACATTTACTGCCTTAAAACATGATGTCTTTAAAACAAACAATAACAATGGTGATAAATAAAATGAATAATTTCCTAGTTCTACATTGTAGTCAAAATTAGGTTTCCAAGGGTTGGGGAGCCCCCTACCAGCGAGGTCTGCTAAACTCACACTAACTAGTTGCTAATTATAATTTAAACGGAAGATTATTTTCATAAAAAATGTTTCTGATTGACACCTGGTATCATATTTAACAAATGCATAAAATAGTAATGTAATTGAATATGATATTCAGCCTAAAATGATTTACAAGACACTGTTTAAATTAGAATTAATCACCTAGACTGCTACGTGTTCTGTACATATTATATAAGTGGAATTTTATAAATTTATCAAATTAAATTTGTCAGTGTTATTAAGAATTGCAAAATCATTTCTTATATTATTTGCTACATTAAATAAGGATGATCTTATGTCATAATATATATATCACTGACACATATCTTAAATTTCCATTCAATTCCTCTCTGTAAACTTCTTTTAATTCCTATCAAATGTTATTAACAATGTTATAGACAAGAGCTGAATGAGCGCTGAAAGTTTGCTGCCTTGTTTAAAAAATAACAAGTATAAATGAATCCTTGAAGAAAAATATTGATCTTACCACTGTGCCTGCTTTCAGATATGCCACCTTTTAAAGAAATCACTACTTGCTAACGCGTTACTCCCCTTCTTATTAGTCTAATTGCAAGAACCTACTGGTGTTATCTCACTCCTTATACTTTTTGAGTTTAGTCATGTCCTTTCCATTAAACACGAAGGATATATATATCAAACGTGACAAAGAAAACAACGACTCAACAAAAGTACTATGTCATTCCTATCTTGTGTGAAACCCAACTAAAAGCAGTAAAGTAAAATACGTATTCTACGATGCCATGGTTCTTTGTAAAATAAAAAAAAGGATAAAAAACAGCATTGTCAGGTTTGTTATTTCTTCACTTTACAATAAAAAAAACGTAGATGGTGCTCAACGTTCAGCATTAATGGAACTAGTTCATCTGTTGTCGGTATAATGTGACTGGACGGAATGCTGTGCTGGGTGTCTTCAGCATGGTATTTCAGTTAGATAACACTATCAAGTCGGCTTCAGATCCGCGCTACCAAAAGAGGGAAAGTAAACCAACATACCTGTCTCCAGCAAACATCCACACAGTATTTCCAGAGGACAATCAGTACACTATACGTGCGGACTATCAATAGCCTCTTCACTAATGCCGCCACCGCAACGCACAAATGAAAGGAATTTTTGCCAGATGCCCTTTTGATTTTGTATATCATTCCTGAAATCTGATCTGTGTGTATGTATTGTACAGGGTCCTACGCACTGGGCTTGTTGTATATTCAGAGAAGGCTTTTTTTCAATCTGCAGAATTTGACGCTCTATCTCCTTGTACTTATTGCTTTGATAGAAGAGTTCATGTTTCGTTGAAATTTTGTCGATTTCAGCAAATATCTTCTCTCTTTCCGTCGATCTTTCGGTGCCTGTTGCTTTATTGTTAATGAAAACATATTTCCCTCCACACGTTTCAATAACCTGTTTCAGATCTCCGTCTAACTCTCGCATAAATTTCTCTTCTGTTACAAAGTTATCCCGAAGTTGATCCGCTTTAGTAAACACTGGCAAAACGAAATCTTTGACATTGTGTCCAAACATCTTCAAGATCTCCTCAGCGGTTTTCTTGTCTGCTGTTGTATGGCGAGTATCAACAGGAATCGTCATCAACACGGCGTGCGGACCGGGCGACGAAAGTCCTAAGCATCGAACTTGTTCTGTGTTTATATCAGCCTCCGACATATTTGTATCGAAGAAGCCGGGAGTGTCTACGACAACTACGAACCTTTCACGAAAATGGGTTGTTGCATAACTACATGTTTTGGTCACAGATTGCTTTTGTAATTTACTCTGAAAGACATCTCTTCCGAGGAGCGTGTTGCCGGTCAAACTTTTTCCCGAGCCCGTCAGACCCATTAATATAATTCTAGTTTCTCTTTCTAAATGTCTTGTTGCTGCTCCTACAAAAGTAAAAATTATTCTTAGTAAACTGTCCTTAAGTATAAAATAAGTAGCAAATCCTACAAATTTAAAGATTCATAAATGAAAAATAAAACGAATATCCAAAGAGATAAATATATTAATATTCAATATATGGATTAGATAAATGTATGGATAATTACTAAGATTTTTTTGTCGAAAAGTACATTAGAATTTTCATTCCTACGCTAGCTTAACTATGAATTTAATATTACACGATAATTTGTGGGACGAGCTAGACAAGATGGTTTGAACAAAGGATACCCTTCTTTAATGTTATCAAAACCGTATGTGGCACGAGTACTAAATTCGCCAAATTTACTCTCATAAGGTTTTCTTTTGTTTAATCAATGGCCATTTAATTAAGGATGTGCCTAATTCTGAAGAAGTTCCAACATATTTATATCTTACAACAGGCAATGGGTAAACGCAATTATCCGTCCTGTGGGGTGCTAGTATTTCTAATGATACAAAAAAAGAGCAAAAAAACAACATATCACCACCCAGAAAATATTTTAAAGTAATTACCACACACAATGTTTTTTTATTCTATTTGTTTTTATAATGTATGCGTATTAATAGTGTGACTGGTGGTGTTTTAGTAACCACTGGTTATCCCGTAACTAAATACTGAATACTTCCCGGTACTTAGTTGGAGCCTCAAAAGGAGGAATTGAAAAATGCAAATTTATTTGTGACCTTGGAAAAACATACTCTTCAATCATCGCTTATGATGTCATGTAATAAAACACACATTATGAGTACGTTTAATAAAGCGATTATACATATTTTTATGTTGTTTTGCGTGAAATATTCTAAAATAGTAAACAGCTTTATGTATGTTTTGTCTTAAGTCAATATGGTTTAGAACAAACTAAATAAGGTATGAACGGTTTTGACCAACTTGTTAAGCGAACTGATTTTAAAAGCTGCGGAAATAAACGAATGCGCCCCTTTAGGTAAGGTGACAGAATATGTCTGCTGTATCCAACTGCCTGCCGTAAGAACCGACTAATCTGGGGGGGGGGGGGGGGGGGCTGCATAATATGGGTTGTCCCCCTTGTTTTCTGCACAAGGGACATTGAATAAAACCAAATTGTCCTACTGCCCCCTTTGTAACCTTTAGGATATATATCTTCTTCTTTTTTCTATCCTACAAGAATACCTTGCCTAGGCACCCGTCGTGTTTCGGGAACGTTAAACACAAACAAATAAAGGGATGACGTCGTCTGGTATGTCCAGGTGTATTGCCATTTACCTGGAGGTAACACATGCACAGGTAACGTCCTGTTGAAAGGTGCTGGGGGTTGTTGGGGATCACCTCTGGCTACAACAAGCATATCATTATTATTTTGGCAATGTATTGTTAATGCATCATTAAAATGCAAAACAAATTTACATAACGGAGGACATTTCAAATTATTCTAAATATAAAAATGGAATAAGAATCCATTCTAATAATTTCATTTTCGCAAAACAACATTAAACGACAACATGTTTCAGTAGATTTTGATTTTATTTTTATATTTAAGATAACTTCGTTGTATTAAAAAAAATACAAATAAATGCCCTTCACAATTCTAGCAACTACAGGTATACATATCTAAAACAGTCAGTTAATACATACATGAACGCATCGAGGCAGCAAAATCCTGACCTTCACTTCTTCCTTGTCCTATAAATGGCAAAATGAATAATAGTACCAAACAAAAGATGGACCCAAAAGAAGGCCTTCTTCTTCCGACCAACGTATGTTTTCTGAGACAATTCTAGTTAGATGTTTAATTCATGATAGCAAATTTATTGATTGTGTGGTCGGTTGTACGGGATTTAACGTCCTATCAACAGTTATGTTCAAGTAAGGACGTATTTTCATGAGTATCGTGCATGTGTGTACGTGTGCTCCTTTTGCAATATCTAAGCGAATTACATAACCGTTTTCAACAATCTTGGTAGTGTTAATACCAGTAACAGGATAAACGTATTTCGATTTAATTTGAAGATACCTAAACGGAATACATTTACTTCCTGTTTGACATATAGTGCAAGTCGTACTATGTAAGTACCAGTCAATCATATCTATAACCATAATTGCTTGATCATGATTTTATATCTAAATACAATGTATACAATGCAATATTTATAACAATAATTGTTTTGTCCTGATTTTGTACTTAAATACAATTTGTATAACAATAATTGCTAGAACCTGATTTTGTATCTAAACAGATAATATCTATACAAATAACTGCCTGATCATGATGTCGTACTTCAATATATAACATTTGGAACATTTATTGCCTGATCATGATATTGTTTCTGATTATATTTTATTTTTCATGTGTTTAATCTCCTACATTTTCGGGGTAAAGGCTTGCTGTTTGAGCACTTAATTGACCTTAGCTGTAATAAAGACGTTTAACCCGACAAAACCAAACCAAGTATCAACACTGCATGCCGTAAAAGGCGACTACTGTGAGGCACACTGCAGATTCAGGTTTTTTTCCGACTTCTGTTAATAGGATATTGACAAAAATAATTATCTTCTGCCTCTTTTGCATCATCTTTATAATTTTGATATCTATCTATTGGTTGGCAACACCTCACTTTTGGATTTTGTTGTTGAGCGTTTGGACAAGTGGTGAGGGCGATGGGTCCTGTCCCAAGGCCGGAACATTCCAAAATCCTTAAAAATATTAGTTGCTGGTCTTACCTTCACTTCCAGCATCTAGAGTGATCAAAACATCTGGTTTATCCATTGTCATTGTAATTTGAACAAGAGGAGTACTGTCGTGCATCAAAGAGCACTTTAATTTCGACATCAGATCCGCGCTATCACAAAGAGGCGAATACACCACCGTACCGTCTCCAGCACACATGCATGCATCCAACCCGTCCTTAAATGGCCTTAGTTGTTTATACATGTAGAACGCTTAAGGTAATAAAACAAAACCGAAGCCTTTTGTGTTAATACACTATGCTATACCTAAGATAGACCTACGCCTGTCCGTATAACACCGTCACATGTGGCAAAACAATAACATAATGTAATGATATGCATGTCCTACGTGTTCACAACATCAACGTTTATCTCTGTATATACATATGTACTCCCGTTGTATATGTGTCTATCTGCACATATATATATATGCATTGCTGTGTCTAACTGCGAAAAATAAATATATCAGATTTGTTATGTGCATGCATGCACCTGCTCATCTTGTCATGATTTAAATAATAACTCGTGTACATATACCTCACATTACATATTTTCATGTGTTTGAGTGTCGGAAATATAAACTGAAATCTGTTTGAGATATCGTTTTTATCGTTAGAACTATTTTCTGTAATTTGATAGTAACTCAACAGTACACCAAAGCTAGTCAATAATACATTATCCAATCTGATTAAAATCATATCCTACGTTCTCAGGATCCCTAACGTGATACGTAGAGGACGTAGGATATGATTTTATTCAGATTGTACATTATCGTACTACAGTTTATATACCTGACTATATTCATAAATGTACGTCTTATATATAATATTAATTTATTTATAAAAATAACTATACTACCAGGTAACAATAATAACATCAACATGTACTGAATCAGTTTGGAGAAATCCCATACCATTGACATTTTTACATCCACCTACCTGCCATTTCCCGTGAGCTCTTTATATATCAAAATGGAGGCCCTGTTTCGTAGACTATTTATAATTATGTCATGGTTGGCCAAGTCAAATAAATGCAGGGTAAAAGACCAGGTAGCTTGATGTTGTTGAATACACCAAGGAATTAATGGGTTACGATATCAGAGTTATCACTGGTTGAACAATTGTTATTTAAAGTACTGATCACTTTCATTGTCTCGTATGTCTGTTCAGTAATACATATCTTCTCTGAGTTCTGTGTTTAAGCTGCGATATTATGTGGCAGTGTGTAAGATTAGACATTTGTTATTTCCCATTCGCACAGGAGATTATCACGTCAAAATATTGCTTTCGATGTTGACAGTCAATAAACTCACTACCTATATACTTTTTATGGGTATCATAAAAATTAGCTAAGCGTCATCCAAACGTTTCTGTTAGGAGAATATACATAGTAGAATAAACATGTATTTACACGTTAACAGCTAGAATAGCCCACGTGTTTTATCAGGGTGATTATCTGTGTCAGACGATACCATGTATTGAACACATGCCAGTTATATACACAAACATAGGACATGGTGTACATGCATATCAATGGTCCATGATATATAGGTGTACCCGTTACACAATACTTATCAACCCTACGTGTATTGGAAACCCAAACCTTTGTCACAACGAATAAAAGGGACGCAATCAAAATTGAGAATATTTCCGGTTTAAAAATGAGGTTAATAGCAAAGCAAAAACAAACGAGTGTACGAAATAAGAATAAAATCATCGTCAATACAACGGAAATTATCGGAATTCAAATAAATCTTCGAGAAAATATTTAGAGCCTTGATATAAGTTGAAGAAATACAAAGCCTGCTTCCTGTTTGTAATAAATCTGTAACAATATGATTCTCATTTTGCTTCGCAATATACACGCCTGATTTCATTGGCTATTTAAAGAGTTGTCTATTTGCGCGTAAGATGATATGTGGCTGCCAATGTTCCAGGTATATAGACGACACCCTGCAGGTGGGTAAATTGTCCTTGCTGACCAGTTATTTATAACTCTATTGTACTGAAATATCAGTATGGTATGCTTGTTCATGTAAACATCGCTTGAGATATAATACTTGGTGAATACTTATTTGTCTTTATAAAATAAAGACAAACTTTTTTATATTTTATTTTCATGCATTTTCAAAGATATTTTACGTAGCATATGAACGCTCACGCACCACTCATCGTCATCATCATCATACTCATTCATCATCATCATCATCATCATCCATCATCCATCATCATCATACATCATCATCATCCAGCATCATCATCCATCATCCATCATCTATCATCATCATCCATTCATCATCATCCAATCATCCATCATCATCCAATCATCATCCATCATCCAATCATCATCCATCATCCATCATCATCCACCATTCATCATCATCCATCATTCATCATCATCCATCCATCTCATCATCCATCTCATCATTCATCTCATCAACATCATCCATCTTCATCATCATCCATCTTCATCATCATCCATCTTCATCATCATCATCCATCTTCATCATCATCCATCTTCATCATCATCCGTCTTCATCATCATCTTCGTTCGTAATAATAGTAACATAGAGATAAAAACAAGCTTACCTATGAGACACGGACGTTGAAGTAGAGCTCATTCTGTATTTACTGACGTGAGGTTAGAATAAGAATTACTGTAATGATGTCACTGTATCATACTTAACGATGTTGTTGTATTTCAGTGTAATATGCTGATTATGATGTATGTAAATGTTTCGTACTGTACGATTAAGATGTATATCATGGTAAGATACTGTATTGTTAACACGTATGCCATTGTACAATATGCATCAAATTGTATTCGACTATTATTGTATATATATCATTGCAAATTTGTAATAGCCTGTACTATTTGTATTCCGAATCAAATATTCCGAATCAGCACTGTCTGTCCTCGTGACAACCCGAGGAGATGAAAACGATACCAATACCGTTAGGGAAATAAACCTTTTCAGACAGTGCAACATGATACAAACATTCACACTGTGATTCCATTTTATATCTGCTCAGAAATTATTTTCCATTTTCACAATTATCTCTATCGTATCTTTAACTAAAAACAGAACGACTAGATCATAGAATAAGCATATACAAAATACCTAGTAGAGCGTGCTTTTAGATTGATTGATTGATTGATAGGTTTTACGTCCGCTTCACTACCGAGTAGTTCGGTTATCCAGCAGACCGCTTTTAGATGACTGTATTTAACTTTTACCCGCCACCTTGTGGATGCTACATATAGACTAGTTTGACCCTTTGATGAACTCTATAACTCAAATTCTCCTACTTAGAACTCTCTTACCAAACTTAGTAATACAAACCCTCTCTTAATTCTCCCACTCTTCTAGTTGCTCAAAAACATTATCCAAATTTCAGAATACCATTCTTATTATCATTTAATCGGGGTTGCGGTTATATATTGTAACCTCAAGAAGTGGAATATATGGTACTGTACATGGAATGTAGAAAAATTCAACACATCTTTCGTTCAATCTTGAACTTCCTTTTCTCAAAAATGTCTCTTTTAATATATTAAAACTTTTGAACGGCGATATGCATATATACTCAAAAATTGAGCATACTAGTCAACAACAAAGGCCAATATATAACATACTGAGGACGACATTGTGAGAATGGTAGAGTTCCTGATTGACAATATATTAGTTGGGTTCGGTGCCAAGATTTGCCAGCAGACTTTTGGCATTCCCTTGGGAACAAGCTGTGAACCTCTCCTGCCCAATTTGTTTTTGTTTTTTTCATATGAAGCCGAGTTATTGATGACCTTGTCACAACTGCTTTAGAGAAACTTAGCTAATTTTTTCAATTTCACTTTCAAGATATATGGACGATGTGCTCTCTTTGAATTACAAGAAATTATCTATATATAATTATATAACCTCATGAGCTTGAAACCAACTTCACAGACCCATCTTCTTCAACCTCTTTCCTCAAAGTTCACTTAGAAGATGGCCCACAGAGACGGCTTACTGCTTGGCTGTACTATAAACGGCATGCTTTCAACTTTCTGATCGTGAACTTTTCCTTTGTTGATAGTAACTTCCCTTATCCACTACATATGATGTTTACATGTCGCAGTTGATTGTGTATTCAAGAGCCTGCTCAAACATTTCGGATTTTTCGGATAGATGTCGACATCTGAAGGACAATATTACAACAACGCGCTCCTAAACGTGCTGGCTGAAGATTATGGGCAAGTCTAACGGTCGTCATCATGATCTTGCAGGGGAAATGTTATTTCTTTATGTGATGTGAAGGTCGATGTTTGTTAATGCCCATTAGAATGCCGTGAAGTTTTGTTGTCACTACCCGGGTCCAGATGTGAGAACGTGACATTACTTGGGTTTGACCTTGATTTACATGGCGTGTAAACAGAACAAGAGTACTGCGGGGCGGAACATTATACGCCCGTCGAATGCCATATAGTGGTATATACTTTCTTACATTGAAATAAAATCTGCATCATTCTAAGAGTGGTTAGCAGACATGCTATGAAAAATGTAGAAGAAAATCTCCGGACAAAAAATCAGATACTGAAATCACGGAATTAGATTATCTAAGTCCGTGCTGAAATGAACAAAGGGGAATAACTTTTGCAAAAATCGTCGAATCAAAATTCTTTTAAGGGAGACACAACTTTATATCATGATAATAATGCATACAAAGTTTCAAAGAGATCCGTTGAAAAAATGTAGGAGGAGGTTGCCAGACAAAAATCAAATACCAAAATAAACAAAGGGCAATAACTTTTGCAGAAATTGTTGAATCAAATTTTTTTTCAAGGAAACACAACAACTTATCATGATTATGTAGCCTACTAAGTTTCAAAGAAATCCGTCAAAAAATGTAGGAGAAGATCTCCGGACAAAAAATCAAATACTGAAATGAACAAAGGGCAATTACTTTTGGAATAATTGTCGAATCAAACTTCATATCATGATCATAATGTATATCAAGTTTCAAATAGATCGGTCGAAAAATGCAGGAGATTGCCCGACAAACAACAGTTTACGCCGGCCGGACCCCCCTCCCCCCTATCATAATACTCCGTTTTGACGGGTGTATGTAAACTGGACTTATTCTCCTTGTATTTTTTAAAATTCCTCAATGGAAACATTCCTTTGTTCATTTTTTGTGTCCTTGTTTATCGTTTTACAGTGCAAATCATAGCTTTGTTGACAGTTCGGTGTTCTATTGTTTGTCGGGCTCCCTGTATGCTACAGCTGGTACTGTCAACAGCTGATTTAGGACCTCTCCATATTGTCTTTTTGAGAGGTCCTTAGTGAATTTTCGCATCGTCTTCTTCGAATTTAATATATATGTACAAGTAGCAACATTTCTCTCCCAATTACCGTTAACCCTTTCATCCCTATGTAACTTGAGTCGAAAAAAAATTTGGACCTTTTTTTTTCTAAAAAACATGAAATAATTGTGATATGCACTAATGTAATAGTTCCTGTTCATGACTTGGAGCATTTATATTTTATAGTTAAAGTGTCCGGGTGTTTATGTCTTTAATTAATGAATATGATAAAATGCCATTTTCAATACAATATTAGCAGATTACGATAGGGTTGTTTTTTTGCGGGGGGGGGGGGGG